AAGGTCATGCGAGACAGTATCAAAGGCTTTAATAAAGTCAAGATATACCACATCTACCGCTTTCCCCCATCCAGAAGGCTTGTTACCCTGTCAAAGAAAGCTATTAAGTTGGTTTGACACAATTTGTTTTGGACATATCCATGCTGACTGTTACCTATCACCTTATTATCTTCTAGGTGTTTGCAAATTAATTGCTTAATTATTTGTTCCGTTATCTTTCCGGTACAGAAGTTAAGCTGACTGGTCCGTAATTCCCCAGGTTGTCCTTATTTCCCTTTTTATAGATTGGCACTATATTTTCCCTTTTCCAGTCTTATGGACTCTCTCCTGTCTTCCATGTCTTTTCAAAGAGAATCACTAATGGCTCAAATATCTCCTGTCAGCTCCTTGAATATTAATACAATACAGTTGTATTAATTCAGTGTATCATCTTTGTTTTACATCTATGTTTTGTTTGCCACAAAAAGTAAATGGAAAAAAAATTACTTGATACTGTAAAGGAACGATGAAAGTTGGCAGGTAGTGTGGAAGTATAACATTGTATAACGTTGTATAAAGGGACATGCTGGATACATTGTATATGAGAGGGCATGCCAAAACATGTTACAAAGTATCTGAGGGAGCACACATAGGGACAGTTAGCTTTTGAATGGAGAAGCAATTAAGATAGAACCAGCATGTCTAAGAAGCAGGCATCAGAATGAAAGGTGTGAAGGACAATTAGTTAACTGGAAGCTGTTAAAGGAGATTGTTAAGATACGTGACTGGTCTCAGGGATCTCGAAGGGTGGTGACTAAAATCTTTTTCTTCTTTTGTCTGTAACTTCTCTGTAACTTGTTCTCCAAAAAACTGTATAAATTAAGAGACAGAAGCCCCACTCGGGGGGGCTCACTTCTAAATGTATTAGCAGAGCAGCTTTGCTAATAAAACAGAGTGGTCTGATAAATTGTGAGTCTGAGTCAAACTTTGACAGTAGTAAGCACTAGCTTATGAACGTTTCTTAAGTAAGCAATTATATAGTTTACACAGATCTTGCAAATAAGATGATCAAACTCCCTATGCTAACCTAGGAGCAACTCAGTGCAATTCTGGAGTGGGGGTGGCTTTGTGTGTGTTTTGTGCTCACCTGAGGCTGCTCTGCCTTATACTGGCTGCCTATAGTCCTCCGAGGGTGTTATGGCAGCAGATGATCATTTCAATGGTAGCTGGATAGGGCTTAAGTCTCAAATATATTTTGCCCGTTGTTAGATGTCTGATTTGGCTTCTGGACACATCTCTGTCTCTTAAAAATGTTTTTCTGAATCTCATGTCTTGCTCATTTATATTCATCTGAACTACTAGCTCTCTACGTTTTTTGGCTGCAACTTTATTTTGTCTGTGGCTCATCTCTTAAAATTTCTAAAATATAATTCACAATCTGTCTCCAGTAGGGCTTTTGGCTGTTATGAGTCCAGGCTCTGAAATAACCTTCAGACTGATATTGAATGCACTCCACTTTAACTTTGGGAAAAGAGCCAAATCCTGAGACTTGCTGCAGCAACTCATAGACTCAAAAGCCAAAAGGTACCATTGTGATCATCTAGTCTGCCCTCCTGTGTAACACAGGACACAAAACTTCCCCAAAATAAGTCCCATAGCAGATCTTTCAGAAAAGCATCCCATCTTCATTTTAAAACTGTCAGTGATGGAGAATCCACCACCACCCTTGGCAAATTACTCCGTAATGGGTTGTCCACCCAAGGCAGAGCTGGTTAGAAGAGGCCAATTAACTTTATAGGCTGCACCTGGAGGAAAGCTGGGGCCTGATCAGGCACAAGGGCTTAGGAAGCCTAGCTGGGATAAGCTTATAAAGAGAGGAAACTGGTAGTAAGAGAAGGCTGCAAGAAGGAGCTCTGCAGTCACTCCTTAGAGAAAAAGGAAGGCAGCTAGATACAAAGAAGAGGTCTAGAAGGAGAGTAAGCCCTAGGATCCTTCCTTTGATAACAGACACAAGCAAGAGCCTGGGGGGGGGGAGTAGTCACATGGAGAAGAGGAAGCCCCAGTGGTAACCTAAAGGGCCAGAAGATAGGGAAGAAAGGTAGGAAAAGGCCCAGGAAAACAGCAACAAGGTCAGAACTTGTACAGACCTTAGTTGCTAGGCAGAGTCCCTAGGCTGGAACCCAGAGTAGTGGGCAAGCCCAGGTTCCCCTACTGGCCACTGGGCAAGCAGCACAGACTGGGCAGTGGATAGGAAGACTGGGACTTTCCTACCCTGGAATGGAAGGACTAGAGTGACCTGGCCAGAGGGCTACTGCCGAGAGGGAGCGACTGAGTCCAGAGTGAGAGGCTGAGTATGGGGCAAGCGAGTGAAGGAGGGGGGAAATCAGACTCCTGAAGAACTAAGGAGGCGCGCCTCAATGGTGAGTGAACCTGTTACATATTTCAATGGTTAATTACCCTAACTGTCAAAACTGTGTGCCCATTTCAAGTCTGAATTCATCTAGTTTCAACTTCCAGCCATTGAATCATGTTATACCTTTCTTTGCTAGACTGAAGAACCCATTAATAAATATTTGTTCCCCATGTAGGACTTATAGACTAATCAAGTCACCCCTTAACCTTATCTTTGTTAGACTCTAGGAGCTAAATCTATCTATCTTATCACTATATGACATGTTTTTTAATCATTATTGCGGCTGTTCTCTGAAGCCTCTCCAATTGATCAACATGCTTTTTAAATTATCAACAGCAGAACTGGACACAGTATTGCAGCAGTGCCAAATACTGAGGTAAAATAACCTCCCTCTTCCTACTCAATGGTCTCCTGTTCATGTATCCCAGGATCACATTTTGGCCACAGTGTCACAAGGGGCTTATGTTCAACTGATTATCCAACATGAGCCCCAACTCTTTTTTCAGTCACTGCTTCCCAGGATAGAGTCCCCCATCCTGTAAGTATGGCCTACGCTATTTGTTCCTAGTTGTATACATTTACCCAGTTTAGGAAGTGATCCAGATCGCTCAGAATCAATTTACCACTTTCCCAATTTTGGGGTCATCTACAAACTTTATTGTGATTTTATATTTTCTTCCAATTCACTGATGATAATGTTAAATAGCGTAAGGCCAAGAATTGGGACCCTTTGGGAAACACACCCACTCTGTGTTGATTCCCTGTTTAGTTACATAATCTATCAATTAGGCAATCTCTAATCCATTTAATATGTGCCATGTTAATCTTATTCCAGGATTTTTTTAAAATCAAAATGTCATGTGGTATGAAGTCAAACACCTTACATAAGTCCAAGTTTATTTCATCAACACTATTACCTTTATCAACCAAACTTCTAATCTCATCTAAAAAAATAGCAAGCTAGTTTGACAGGATCTATTTTCCATAAACACATGTTGATTTGCATTAATTATATTACCCTCTGTTAATTCTTTATTAAAATAGTCCTGTATCAACTGCTTCGTTATCTTGCCCAAAACTGATGTCAGACTGACAAGCCTATAATTACCTGGGTCAGCCTATTTACCTTTTCCCCAAATGATTCAAGATTTATTGACAATCAACATTAGAGATCCAGCAATCTCCTCAGCCAGCTCTTTAAAAACTCTTGGATTCAAGTTCTCTGGACCTGTTAATTTTAAAAATATCTAACTTTAATAGCTACTATTTACCATCCTCTAGAGACAATAGTGAAAGGGAAAGAGTGTTATCACTGAGACTATTTCATCTGCTTTCCACCCAAATATAGAACAAACATTTATTGAACACTTCTGCCTTTTCTGTAATGTTAGTGATAATTCTATTATTTGCATCTAGTAATTTATCAATACCATTGTCAGGATTATTTTTGTTTCTAATTTTTAAAATATGCCTCTTATAGTCCTTAACTCTGCTGGCCATAGACTTCTTGTGTCCCTTTACTTCCCTTATTAGTTTTCTACAACCCCTAATTTCTAATCTATGTTCATTACTATCAACTTCCCCTTTTCTTCCATTTGTTTTTATTTATTTTTACAGCTGCCTTCACTTCCCCTCTAAATCAAGTCTATTTTTAATTAGTATGGCCTTCTTCCTTGATTTGTGGCTTTTGAGACATCTAGTAAGGGGCTCTTAAAGGAGTCCCAATTATCATTCACATTTTTCTGATTAAATTCTTCCTTCCAGCTGATCTGGGTCAATTTTGAAACTGGCCCTATTAAAGTATCAAGGATATATATTTATCTGGACTAGATTCTGCTTGCACAATGTAAATGTGATTGTCATGATTACTTATACCTGAGCTACCATTAATTTTTAGTTCTGTGTTCAGTTCCTCTATCAGTTAGGACAAAGTCTAATATAGAATTCTCTGAGTTGGCTGCACCACTTTTTGAATTAGGAAATTGTCACCTAAAATGGTTAGTAATTCCCAGTGACTTCCACAGGCATCAGAAGTGATCAGCAGATCTCAAGATTTGACTGTAAAATGCCTCTTATGTTGCATTTCAACCTGTTACTGATTTAATCTACTATACAAAATGTTTTGGGATGCTGGCAGGAAAAAGATGTTTTATTTTTTGCAAGTATGGCAACAAATAGCTATCTGAGTATGTGACAAGAAAATGTACCTAACCTATTCTATATTGAGTATTTCCCCTCTGGTATAAAAACAGCCTTTTTTCCTCAGTCACTCTGATTCAAGACACGTAAGGCCAGATCCATAGTTGGTGTAATCGGGCATTGCTCATTTAGTTTCAATGGAGCTATGCCAATTTACACTGAGAATCTGGTCCTTAATTTTCAACTCACTCTTCCATCCCTCATTGGGAGTGACAATATTTACCTAATGCTCCCCGTTACCCAGTATTAGCATGAGGTGAAATCTTAGCCTTACTGAAGTCAATGGCAGTATGGTCATTAACTTCAACAGGGCAAGGATTTCACTGCTACTTTTTGGCTAGATTTCTCGTGTGGCTGAACAGCTCTGGAGTCTGAGAAATGACAGCTTAATAAAAGGAAAGAATCTTACCTTGTTAATTGAGCAAAGTGATGCCTCCCCAGAAAAGGGTTTTTCCACCTGAAGTCTGCGTGAGTTCTCCTACACACACACACAGTTTTAACCATTTGTAGGTCTTCAACAGTTAACTTCAAAACTTGACTTCCTAAAAAGCAATTAGTCTACCTTTTTTGGACATTGTATGCGTAATCTAGAAACTCCAAATTCAGTACATTCTCCAGGTCTGAGGGAGAACTAATGTACAGGGCTAGACTGAGTTGATCAGATAATTGAAAACCTGTGTTAGAGGAAAAGACAACTTTTGAATGCTGTGAAAGACTCTTCTGTGAGGGGGGTCTTGCACCTCTTACTTATGCAAACAGCTCCAGTGATTTAAGTGCAGCTACTCAAGTGAATAGGGGTTGCAGCATTCGGTTCTTACTGAGCACTGAAGATTGTGAGATTTGTAGATACTTTGCCTGAAGTGCTCGGGGGCCTGAAGGTTAGAGACTGGTTACCAGTCCACAATGATTCCTGCAGAGTTTATGAACTCAGGAATGCAATGTACAAACTCTGAAAGACCAGGTTGGGACCAGAGCTCCTACGATGTTGCTATGACCCAGATTGGAATCTATGGGAGGTGTGGTTTCATGGCACCTCAAGGAAGAATTAAGCATCTCACAAGACCAGGTCCCTAGTATGCATGGTAATATGTTACAATATATTATGAAATACCAGTATGTGCATACACTACAAAGAAAGGAAGTGAAACTATAACAGTAGTGCAAAAATAATACACCTAGACAAAGGTGCAGGAGCAATTTCTATTTAATGCATTGTGATCATTTTATTAAGTAACATTCTGGGATGATGTGTGGCTTCAACTGCTTGACTTGCAGAAAAGCATCTAACCTAATCTGTGGCAGCAAATAGAGGCATGCATGCGTACATGCTCACTTCAGATGAAACTTGTTTTGTAACATGGAATATTAGATCAGATCGATACTTTGGCACTGTGAGGAACAAAGTTAATTTTATGCATCTATAGACTTTTGTGGTCCTGAAATGGTTTGAGAGCTGAAAATAAGTTTTAAAAAAAATGTAATTTGCTACCAGCAGAGCTATAAGAATAGAATACATAAAAAGCTCTCTAGTTCGATATTGCATTATTTTGCAATTATAATCACATACTGATTTTTTTTTAAATCTTGTAATACAGTCAAATCTATGGAAGTGCCTTCATTTTTCAAAGGACAAAGTTTCATATCCCCACCCTGATATCAGACCAGCAGGGCTAATACACCACTCCACAGAAATTGTGTGCTTACACAGTATATCCATGTTCCTGCTGCTTTGAGTCTGGCATATATCGGATCAACATTGTTGTTAAAGCTGACTCATCTACAGTAGATGTAGCATGCTGGATTGGTACCTTTGTAATAGATCACGTTTTCACCCTCAACTTTATGGTTGTGTGCTTAATACCAACAAAACGACTGTAAAGGGGTCTCCATGTAAAAATTCCATGTTACTGCTATGATACACTAAGGGTCATTCTCTGCTAGCATAAAGCCTTAAATCCATGAAGTTATGACAGCAAAAAATTCAGCCCCAATATACTAATATTTATATCATCTGAGAACATGAGTCATGAACTGAGGAAAAGTGACATTTCAATAAGACAGGACAAAGTGGGGCAAATCGTCTGCCTTTGATGCAGACAAAGTGTTTTGAATTCTGATTAGAACTCATGTTGGGATGCTAGGAGACGAAAAGATTTTAAGTCGGACGGTAACAAGAAAAAAGGTATTGAAAAGAGAACAAAAACAAGAGTATTGCAAGCAGCTGACACCATGCTTAGAAATGGGATTTCTTGTTATTGACATTCCCCACCGTGCAGCACCGTCTTTTCCGCACAGCTATACTTAAGAGCGCAGGATATTGTGGTATGGCTAGAGACCCACAGTTCTAAAGCAGATAAAGTTACATAGGCTTAAATACATTAAGCATATTGTATTTCAATTCACTAAATACATTAAGCAATGCTCTGGAATGCCCCTGTATTTACTGAAAGTGCACTGTTTTGGCAATGTACAAAAAGTCCCTGTCTATGCAGCTTACAATTTAAAGGTCTAGTACTCCCATATACGGGAATAACCACAGAATGGGAGTGAAAACTCTGTATATTTCCTTCAGATTCTTGCTCCAAAGACCTCTGCCCCTCTGCAAAAGGGACAGGGCTCCACATCCTAAACATGCAGCCCCTTTGCAATCAAGGTCGGTCTTAGAGGATCTATGCAGTGGCCAAGGGCATCTGAACTGCTGTTTGCCACTGCAGGAATGATGCTCCCTGGGCCCTCAAGTTTCCCTTCATGAGGGCAGTGTTCTGCGGCATGGAAGAGGAAGTGTTAATTATTGCAGACTCCATTGCTGTAATTTATTCTGCTGTGCCACTGGGATTTTTTTGGGTGGGAGGTAGGAAAATCCAATGGAGACCAGGTTGGTGCCCCAGGCCCTTCACACTCCAGAGCCTCTGACGGGGTTGAGGGAGAGAAGGAGGGCACTGAGGAGGCTCTCCTCCCTTCTGTGTCCCCAAGGCCACTTCCACAAATGCAGTCTTCCTTTATGTACATATAGGAAGGGGAGCATGGGAGAATAATTTAAGCATAGGCAGTAAAACCAAGCACAATCACATATAAATGGTTCACCCTCTAGCTAAAGTAAGCTGTATATGTAACATCACGAGTGAGGGATGGTATAAATCTACAGCAAATACACAGTGGGTTATTGATGAAAGGTCATGCAGAAGAAATGCAGAGAAAGGAGGTTCCTTGTTTGCCAAAAAAAGAAAAAATTCCAAGCATAGGAAATGGAACAGAAGATGGTGCAAAGATTAGTATGGTAAGGTGATGAAGGGTCTGCAGGAGGTGGAAAAAGTAGAAAATGAGAACTGGAATATAGGAATTGTACCTGAGGGTCATTTTGCATTTTTATTTCAAAGCTGCTCAGCTCCCTTTTTGAGAGTTAAAATATTAGTCATCAAAATTCTGACTCAAGTATTGTCAGCCTGGCTGTATTTTATTTCCCCCAAAAAACATTGAGAGAATAATAATAGTAAATCATGTTTTGAAGTACCACAAAAATGTTGAATTAGCATGGATAAATGTTGGCATTAAACCTAAACACTATCTCCCTTGTTCTAGTTCCTTGATTCTCGTTTTCCTTTGTTGTGTTGCTTTTTAAACCTTTTTTTTGACAACGTGGTGTGTTCCCATTCCACCATATCACTCCTGTTTTCCATCTCCCTCCACACACACAAACTTGTCCCCCTGATACATGCCACATCTATCCTCATGATTCAACACACCCTTATTTTAGCACTCCTAATTCGCGCACAATGCAATTTTGTGCACAAATCCGCTAACTACACACAAACTGCTTCAAAGACCGAGCATTGAGTCTTACTGAATGCAATAGCAACCCTAATAAGTTAAGGTTTAGTTATTAATGAGCCATGTTCTAACATCTCTGCATGTGAGATTTGCTGTGGATAAGCAGCATGGTCTTTGTACCATTAACCCATGAGTCAAAGTATAATATGGTCCTTTCCACAGAATGAGTTTGACAGCCCTGTGTTGGGGGATATCAGCCATCCCTTTGGAAGTTCCACCTCCTCCTGGAAGTGGGCGCAGGGCAAGTGCCATAGGAAGTGGCACTCCGTGGAAAAGGTTCCCCATTACTGATACAGGTTTAGACTCTAGTTAGTAAAAGGAAGAGAGCTGTATGGTGGGTGGTTTGGGAGCCCTCTGTTTACCTGCATTCATCCAGTGACACAAACAGGTTAGTTATAATGAAATTTACAAGCCATTTGCTCATAAATGGGACTAATTCTGTAAACTTTACACAGCACCAAAGAAAAATATTTTCCATTTCTTCCCTTTTTAAACATTTCCACTAATATTTAAACAAAAGGAAAATTAAATGCACAGAGCTATTTTACAACATTAAGGATGTGACTACCCAAAAAGAGAGAGTGGTAGTTAAAGTTGCTATTCCTTCTTTAACTCCCCTGCTCCCTATATGCCTGATGGCACTGGCTGGCTGAACACTGCAATGTGCACGTGCTTTCTAACAACCTCCCAGCTGCAAAGAGATCTCTTTATAAACGTGTCCTTCATGTGAACTCTAGCCTGAGTGAGAAATGTGCAGAACAATAAAGCAGATCCGACCAATACTATTTCTCTAGTTTCCTCAAGCTAGTGCATTTATTTTAATTTAAAAGGGAAAATGAGGTTAAAATTGAGTTTTATTTACAATTTCATATGGATTAGACTTCTCTTTACTGTTGGCTTCTTGCTTATTAATGCATTTTGAGAACAAATCACGTGACAAAACAATACATTTCTATTATCTTAAAAGGTTAATCATACTAAAGGCTAAAATAGTGATAACCAGCCAAACTGTATATGCAAATAACTACATCCCAGTTTATTAGCTATGGGAAATCTATCATTTTTTCAAATAAGTAGCAAATAGCTGTAACTGTTGTTCTGGACTGCTGATCTCTTCTTTAGAATGTAATCTGAAGAGAAGGCTTTTTTTTTTAAATGCAGGATCCTAGTTAGACCTGGGTTAGTAACAGCGGAAAATATTTATGAACGAAGTCCTCCCAATCTATTCTCTCTCCCTTGCTATGGAAGCCACTGCCAGAGGATAGGAAATAGGGTATCCATACCAGCACCAAGAATATAAAAATGTCCCTCAACTAAGTTATAAGAACAACAGATACATGCTTTAAAACACAGAAATCCAAGTCAATGAGTGGGAAAGTGTCATTCCTATAAAAGGAAGGGCTTTGATTTAAAGATCAGGTTGGGCAAAAAGATGCTTACTTGTAAAGGTAATACTCAGCTTGATCCACCTCTTCTCGTGAAGAAATGTTGTCAATAAACTGATTTTAAAATAAAAAAAAATTCTTTAGTGTACAGCAGTCACAATGCATATTAGAACATTAACACATTTGTTTTGGTTCACATTTAAGTGTCTAGCCACAAAATAATCTTCACTTTGTTTAGTAACTGACTTCACTTTTGCAGTGTTTTCTTAAATGCAAACAAAAATATACAGCATCTCTTGATGTCTTAACCTTAAGAGTCATTGATTGTCTCCATCTACATCTCGTACAGTCCAGAAAGACTGAGACTGGTGTGATGGTTAAGGCCCTGGACCAGAAACTAGGAGATCTAGATTCCATTCCTGGTTCCATCCTCGGACTTTGGCCAAGTCCCTTCATCTCTAAAAATCATCCTTTTCTTCCACTTTGTCTTCTCCATTTATATTGCAAGATCTTACCATATCTATATACACTGCCAAAAACAACAGGGACTAGACTTAGCTAGTCTCTAGGCATTAATAGTAAAAAAAAAAAAATGGGAGTGAGAGGGCCCAATTCTGCTCTTATTTACACCAGTGTAACACCATGAAGCTATGCTGTCCTATGCCAATGGAAAACTCTCTCTTTAGAGTTTTTAGACAATCTTACAAAAAATTCTTAAAATTAAATTCAGACAACCGGAGCGGAGAACAGGAGGAGTTGTGGGAAGCTGTTACACTGAGTGGTCTCAATGCGATACACAATTTTCCAGCCTTTCTGAATTCACAGAATCAAAAATTGACAAACGCTGTTTTTATTCCCCAACATCAGTAATGATCTCAGAACTTATCTGCTTCTTGCAAGCTTGATATTGGGTCAGAGTACAGCTCAACCCAAAAAAAGGCAAAGCTGTCTGATCCAAAGGCCACTCAAGTCAATGGGAGTCTTTTCACTGACTTCTTCAAGGGGCTTTGGATCAAGACCATACTGTGCTGCAAAACTGTTCACAGGTTCTCCCAGTGGAAGCAGCTAAAAGCAAGAGGACTACCAGAACTGAGGCCACAAAGTGTTCAGTAACTGCATGAAGTGTTTTTCTGAATTGTATGAAAACCCCCACTGGTGATTCCAGTGATCGCTAATGGGTGAGACTAGTACTGCTGAGTTTCCAGTATAGCCAGTCAGCCTTTTTCCTTCTGACCTAGTTCTGTGCTTTGAAATTCTTTTAAAAGCAAGTGTCATATGGGCTACACTTACTAGCAAAGTCTAGAAAAACCATCACAATCTCTTTATTAAAGAGAATTTAACACATCTCCCTCCTCCACCCCCAAAATAAATGTATGGAGAGTATGGCAGAGGGTAAGATTTACAAGATTTAAGAATCGCTTATTGGCTTAATATAACCCAAGCCAACTTGCTGGTGGAGTCTGCTGCAGGTGGAAGGCAATACTGCAGTGGTAGAAAGTGGCCACAACCCCCACTCTAGTGCAAGCCTTGAAGTGGAAGAGGGAGCATACATGGCAAGGCAATACATAAAGTGCATTTCCTGTAGATACCTATGCAGAAGGGGTTCCTATGGAGCATTGGCTCTAAACAAAGGGTACATATATCTCTGGCAGGTATGCAGAAGTCTTCCAGGGGGTACTTCAAATCATCTAGATATGTGCCTAGTTTTAAAACAGGCTACATAAAAAGCACTAGTGAACTCAGTACAAACTAAAATTTCATACAGACAATGACTTGTTTATACTGCTCTATATATTATACACTGAAACGTAAGTTCCATACAATATTTATACTCCAACTGATTTTATAATTATATGGTAAAAATGAGAGAGCTTACAAAAATACAGAAGTATTTGCTTACAAGTCATTTAAGTGAGGTGAAACTTGGGGGTACACAAGACAAATCAGACTCCTGAAAGGGGTACAGTAGTCTGGAAAGGTTGAGAGCCACTGCTATGGAGCACTTGTTGGATTTTAAAGCTGTTGCTGTCGCAGACAGAAATCACAAAAGGGCAGGCAACAGCAGCTTTGCCGGCACTCCACTAGGATGGGTCTTTTTACCTCTGGTGCACGGGGCCAGGGTGGCACAGGGGATTGTAAGTTACACCCTTCTGTGCCAGTTTCAGAGACTCTGATCCAATATATTGATCTGTATTGTGGGAGTATCTGGGGACCCCAATAATGGGTCAGGGTTCCCTTGTGTTAGGTACTGTACAAACACAATAAAAAGACAGTTTCTGCCCTGAAAAGCTTACAATCCAAGTACAATAAATAGTTAAAGCAGGTGGATAGAGCCAACATTTTTACAGAGCTAAGGCTTCAATTTAGCAATATAACAAGATGTTTACAACTTGAATTCTCAGCACAAATAATTATCCCTTAGGATTTCACTTGATTTCTTAAGTATTCTCAGGTCACTCCCATCTTTGTTAATAGTGGAGTTTTTTCTTACCCGTGATATTGTCAAAGAGCTGACAGGAAGCTTTCTTTCATAGGTTCTGTCCATTAATGTGGCCAATTCAGCTGTAGAAACATAAAAAAATTATTTTCCACTAGTTAAAGTTAGTGAGAGAAACTGACAGTAAAAGATTTAAGTCTTCTGCAAACTGGAACAGGGCATGCAGTAATGAAATTAAGTTCTTAGCAATGTATTTTATTTTCATTTGAAGTTAGAACAAAATCCATGGAGGATTTTTCAAAATGTTTAATACTAGGGAAAAACTTAAAGCATTCGGTGAAATTAATAAGTGCCTAAACAAGCTGGACAGATGCCTTGAAAGTTCACTGTTGGTTTCAAGTTTGGTGTTTACTGGACAGCGCATCTGTTTTGTTTTTTCTTATTTTATTATAAAATAAGTCCCCAACAATCAGCAACTCCTAGAAGCAAAAAGAAGATAAACACCGAGTCAAATGCAAACTGGGCTATATGTCAGTATCTTATTACCCTCCCAGTAGCTCAACATGGTAATTTTTTTAACTGTCTGCACAGTGGTTTTAAACTTTGGGGCTAAATACTGAATTTGATAAATCTAAGTTGGTATAATCTTTTTGCATTTTTCTTGAACAACAATGTCTTGGGAAAAGCTCTATTGCAGCATCTCAGATATGCCCCAAGGGTATCCCATCCATGATACTAAGAGACAGATTCACTGTCTCTCTATTCTCTTGTGTATCAGCTCCATTGCAAAGTCAGGGATACCAAATGCCTCCATGGTTCTGGCAGCAGCCCCAGGAGTAGTTTCTCTGTCTCACAGGTCTGGTGACTCGCAAAACCTCTCCTCCAGCCCCCTTTCCAAACAGCTCTACTCACTGACCCCTTGCAACTCACTTAGGGCCTGATCCAAAGCCTACTGAGCAATCAATGAGTCTTTCTATTGATATCAACAGGCTTTTGATCAGGCTCTTGCAGTGCAACAAAGAAGGAATGTGTTGATTATTTTAAAATGTTTTCCACCTGTTATTGTAATATGCAACGGCCATAATTTCTTTCCAGCACAAAGGATGTTAAGCTCTATACTTCAGCAGAGCAGGAGGGGAGGTGGACCATAGCCAGGAAAGGGGGGAAGAATGGCTCCACTACACCTGATTCTCCAATGGTGTAAAGTCTTTGAGGGCCCTACCACCAGAGGCATAACTTATTCTGTACCTGTGCAGTCTCCACTTACCCGAGGCAGCTCTGAATTACAGAGCTGCAGCTGGCTTCCTGTAGACCCAGCTGTTCCACCTGAGTTCAAGCTCTTACAACTGGATTTTTAAAGGTATTTAGATGCCTGATGATGCAGATGGGCTCCTAGGCATCTAGTGGGATTTTTAGAAATGCCAATCTGCATCTTTAGAAATCTAAATACCTTTGAAAATCTAGCTCATTTACAAGTGTGGATAGGATCTTTTGCCAAATTTTCAAAAAAGGATGGCTAAAGCTACACACCTAAATCTGTGTTCTGGCATATAAGTAAGCAGCTTGACTTCCCAGGTGCTAAGAAGGTGCAGCTCCCACAGACTGTTCAGCATCTCTGAAAAAGGCCACTTATTTTGGTACTTAAATGTGGATTTAGGTGTCTGAACACAAGATATCTAAGTAGGAAAATGTAGGCCTTTCACCTCAAGACCATGTCTGAATTACCATACTCAGTGAAATGCTGATTTTTAACCTAGCCATAGTTACCGCCATAATTATTGTTAACTTCAACTATCTTTCTCAAGTATTTTTTCCCCCACCCTTAGATAAATGTTATACAAGATTCTCCTAGGGAAGGCATGGAAAATTGTCAACAACCTATTGCCTTGAGTCACTAAGCTTAAGGGCAAATGTACCTGCTGTACTTTTCTTTTTTTTTAAATTCCTTTGAAAATGTGTAGAAAAGGGAATGGTAGAAGGGACTGAATAATTCAATTCTCCCACATCTGATCAATTGATCTAGGTCTAGACAACTGATAACAGTTGGAGAGGCCATTTTGATTCTTCACAGCAGTGATAAAATTCAAACAGTGGAATGAACAACTCTTCAAGGGCAACATATGTATCAGCAACAGCAGGTTGACAGCAATTAGCTAAAGGCTAGTTACAGAAAGGTGCTCACCTGAGCATGATAAGACTATCTAGAGTTCTTAATCTACACAGTGAATAAGACAGGAAAGTATACAATAAGAATATGTTCAGTATTTAAACAATACCACAACATGGTTCTGTGGTGAATGAATATACAGCTTGGGAAACACACTTGTAGCAGGTTTCAGAGTAGCAGCCGTGTTAGTCTGTATCCGCAAAAAGAAAAGGAGGACTTGTGGCACCTTAGAGACTAACCAATTTATTTGAGCATTTGTAGCAGTCATTTTTCAGACTTCATTGAGTTGTTGAGGATTTAATGCATCTCTATCTGAAGCTGAAAGATGTCTAGCACAGCTTTGAGTGTTGGTGTCCAATCCTGAAAGGCACACCGAGAACTCCCCCTGAACTATCTGATGAGAGTTGCACACACAGAGGACTTGCAGGATTAGCCCCTTGATGTGTCAATGAAGCTGGAAATCTGTCAGCACTTTACCACAGAAAGTAACTTGCACTACTGACACAGCTCCCTCAGCCCCAGTATAAAAATCACACTAAAATTAAAGCTTAACATATAAGTAACAGAAATCAGGTTAACTGAAAATTTAACATTGTCCGCCAAACTGCAGCTTCTATTCTAGTTACTAGAGATGAATGAATATTTTGCAGTGAACATATTCCAGATTTGCTTCTGTCTGCAGAGCGTGAGAGTAGATTGATTTTTCTGAAATTCATTTTAAATTATTCAGTGGTTTTTGTGAATTTAATTCTGTGGCTTTTACAAAAAATAATATAGCTGTGTTGCAAATTATAAATGGGCTGTGGGTAGGTGTGGCAAGCTGATCAATTGGCCAGTCAAAAGCTCACGAAAGCTTATGCTCAAATAAATGTTAGTCTCTAAGGTGCCACAAGTCCTCCTTTTCTTTTTGTGAATACAGACTAACACGGCTGCTACTCTGAAACCTGTCAAATAACGTCAGTTAACCACAAATATTTGACCACTGTCAAATATTCCAGCAAGAATGCCTTGAAGTAGGCAGTGGCCTATCTTTTTAGATTGCATCATGGTGCCATTCTTTAGAACTTCATTTCATTATGTTTTGCATTTTTCTACGTTAAAGTAATTCAGTTAAGTAACTTGTTTGTTATTAGGCATAAGTATCTAAGGCTAAGCCTGCCAGAGACCATAACGTCTTACTCTTTTATTAGTGATCTAATAAATTAGTGCTTAAAGCATTTTACCATTTTTTACACTGTTTGACAATATCTTACTGGTCAAATGATCAACCCTACTGGTGGGATAGCTGAATGCAAGTGCATAATTTACATTTCTTAGCTTTCATGGCAGTAAAACCTGACCATATGTGTGTGGAAACACAAAAGGAGTGTTTACATGGCCAAGTGAATTTGTATTTAAATTCTAACAAATATCCACAGAAAATGTTTTTACACTTTGTCCAGCAGAGGTAATTATCAAATAGGAGATTAATATGATCAACTCTCATCCAAGGTTAATTTTTACTGAATTATTTCCGAAGACAGTATAACCATATATTTCAGAAGACATATATTATGTCATTTTTTTTAAAAAAGAAAAATAAGAGTGGGGGTCACTTAAATTCAAGGCATCCCCTTCCACCCTTAGTCATGGAAATAATGGGCTCTTCCATTTCTTGTTAGTTTATTTTTAAATCTGTTTGTGGAAACTAAAATTCCTGCTCCCTACAATTGGGTGGCTCAGGGAACCAACTAATGAGTCTTTCACCTCCTAAGTTACTGATATAACTCAGGCCAACAGTGGCTAACATCTGACTGCTGTTCAGTGGCCTGTCTTATATGAATGTGGTCTCAAAAACGAGGAGTCCGGTGGCACCTTAAAGACTAACAGATTTATTTGGACATAAGCTTTCATGGGTAAAAATCCCACTTCAGATGCAACATGAATGTGGTCTCAGTTCAGTTCCAGATCTGTCCATCACAAAAACCGCTCTGACAACTGGCACCCTTATGGCAAACATGTAATTAGCATGGAGACTGAACTATCATCTCACTCACTCACAATGGTGATCATCAAGAACAAGGTTGAAGCCCACTGACGAGGCAATGTTGGGAAGCTGGTACCTATGACATACCTGTCCTGTGAGTGAAGACCTACTTCAGTGCAGAATTGTTAAGTGCTCAACTTCAGTTTTTATAGAAACAACACTTTGGAGGAAAAAATTCTGTCCTATGTTGGGAGACTGAATGATGGCTCGAGTCAAGAGCTCACCCTAAGTAACTTTAGTATTACATCAAATGTCTCTCTGCTCTCAACTGCCAACATGCAAATAAGATGCAGCGCACACACAACTGGCCCTGGCCTCTACATTCCTGAGATCCATCAGGAAAGGACTGATTTTTATAACAAAGGCCTTCTCACTGAAGTCTACAAAGAGAGCACTGCCATCTACTGTTCTGATAGGACAGTTTTGATAAGTAAAACACCAATGCTTTTTCAAACAAAATGAACAGCTTATTTTGCTGCCCCACTTCTGCGGTCTCTACTTCCCATCAATCTATTGTCAGTTAATTTCATCTTTTTTGTTGATAGATCAACTGAAATTTTAGAGAATGTAGGTCCATCCAATCCTCCTTTTTGAGCATCTAATTTTCAGAAGAGTCTATTGTTAAACAGACTTTTTCCCGATCAGTAGGCTATTTGAAAACCATGACCAGGACATGTCAATCTCATCTTTTAAAAACCCACTGTTCTTTAGTTTGCATTTGTTCCACATTCAAAACTAAGTTCTCCTCTGCAATATTTGGATGTCTCAATCCTATCACTCCAGGAACATTAACTTTAGGCTATAATCATCTTTTATTTTTATGGAGTCAAGTTTGTAACAATACACATACAGATAACACAGTAAAGGAACAAGCCTGAAACACAACCATGTCATCAGAGCAGTGGAACAGAGGGAATTTGCGTAAAAAACACTTCTTGTTTCTTTATATCAAAAATATTACTTTCTTTAAATCATCGTGAGATGTGCCAGATTGACAACCATAGAGATTATAGGCGTCTACCAGCAAAACAGATACAGAGGGGTAAGTGCCAATTTAATCTTCTTTCTCAGTGTTCTGCAGGAGTTGAAGAGTCCAGGAAAAATTGTTCAATATTACTAAAACAAGTTGTCTTAATATGAATAAATCATCCTAGTAGTAATTATTTTTTTGCTCTTACACACATGATTAAATGTGCAGCAACACAATTAGCAAAGACTGATTACAGTCCAGATGTCTGATGTCATCTCCGCCAACATGCTATTAGAAATGACATGGTTTTACTAACTTCTTTTGTTCCTTCCAGGAACAAGACACCAAAACCCAAACCAAATGAATTAATTTGTTCTAATAACCCTGAGAAAGGGAAAAGCAGTCTTGACTTTCAGAGGCAGCCAGGAGTAAGGTAACTGCTTTGGTCCAATGTCTCAGGCAGAAAAGAGGTTGTAGTCTCCCTCCCCAAAAAGTGTCATAAGAGAGCTGTATGATCAGGGCTATAGTCATTGATATAAAAAAACTCTGGTAGCCTATGTACAGTAAAATGAGTTAGTATCAGTCCAGTTATTTATGAATAGATGAAAAAGTTATGCACTATAGAGAGCAGTTCACAGATCCATAAACATTAATGCTACAAGGGATTCTGGTGATCATGACCTCCTGCACAACACAGGCCATAGACTTTCACCCAGTAATCCAGTATCTATCCTATAACTTCTTGTTGAGCTACACCACATCTTTTAGAAAGATTTCCAATCTTGACTTGAGACGACATCTTACATTGGCAAGAAAACTGACTGGATACTGCAGTACATTTCCTCTCCCACCCCCTCTAAGCTTCTACAGTTGCAACACCCTTCTCCTCCTCTTCTGCCGCCCCCCCCAAATCACAACTGGCACTAACTGGTCCTTAGTGCAGATCATCTGGATTTATCCAAGCATAATCGAGATCAGATTACAGCCTCATTCATGGCTAGGAAAATCCCTTTGCCTAAAGGAAGCTGAAAGCTTGCCATGAAACTACCCTATGATATGCCATGCAGCTCAGAGTGGATACTGTGGTGCACGATGAGTAGGGCCCTACCACATTCACTGCCAGGAAAAAGTGTCACAGACTGTGAAATCTGATCTCCCACTGTAAAATCCGGTCTTTTGTGTGCTTTTACCCTATACTATACTGATTTTTGCAGGGAAGACCAGAGTTTCTCAAATTGAGGGGATGGGGTCCTGACCCAAAAGGGAGTTGCAGGTTATTTTAGGGGGGATCACGGTATTGCCCGCTTACTTCTGTACTGTCTTCAGAGCTGGGCAACCGGAGAACAGCAGCTGTTAGCTGGGCACCCAGCTCTGCAGGTAGCAGCACAGAACTAAGGGTAGCAAAACCATACCATGCCGTCCTTACTTCTGCGCTGCTGGCGACAGCTCTGCTTTGAGAGCTGGGCTCCCAGCCAGCAGCCACTGCTCTCCCGCTGCCCAGCTCTGAAGGCAGCACTGCCGCCAGCAGCAGCACAGAAGTAAGGGTAGCAGTACCACAACCCCTCCCCCAACTCCTTTTTGGGGTCAGGACCCCTACACTTACAACATTGTGAAATTTCAGATTTAAATAGCTGAAATCATGAAATTTACTATCTGTAAAATCCTATGGCTGTGAAATTGACCAAAATAGACTGTCATTTTGGTAGGGAGATAGGAGATGTAGTCCAGCCCAGGAGCTCAGCCCAAAGGAGATAATACAAGTGCACAGACTACAACTCCCATGCAACACCACAGCAGATGGTTTAATGTTGAACAAACCCAAAACTAAGTTTCAATTTTCCTGATAGAAAATTAATAAATCTCAGCAAAAAAATGTAGCAGACACTGAGATTTCAGTCAGTCTTTTTGAAAATTATCCTCCAATAGTTTACAAAATGACATCTTGCACATCTAACACATCTTACTGTTAATTGTAAGTAACACAGACTGCCTTTTAAATTTTGATATCAAAACTTAGAATGGGCACTTCAACTTCTCAGATAATAAAAAAAATCACATCCATGGAATGTGTATTTTTCGTGGGAAAAAAAACAATTTACAGAAAAGACATTTTTCTAATTTTAATGAAAGGTATAAAGTCTACCCTTGGGAGAAAGTATCTGCATGTTTTTGTTTTGGATCAATAGTACAGACAGGCAAGATATTTCTAACTTACAGGATTGGATTCTGATCCTCTTACTCAATCTTAGTAGCATTTTACTCCACAAATACTCAGTGTTAAGTACTAAAAAATGTGAGTAATGGTATTAACTCTTCCTTAATGATTTTAGATTTTTTTCAGTTAGTCAACATGAGTAAATGTAAAAACTCTTTCCTTACCCAAGCTGTGCACCTCTTTTTCTCTTTCTTCCCATCTTGAACTGTCCACGTAAGCTGCAGAAAGAATAGATCTTCTGCCTAATTTAAAAAAAATATATATTGTCGAAGTCAGGTCACTTAAAGGAGTCAGTTTAACTAAATGAACATTTTATTAGAACAATTTTTTATATTTTTCCATTCACTGAATTAACTGTAACTGTTTTGTGAGCACTCCATATTTCAAGCAGTTAATTCATCATATATGCATTCAAACCACAGTAAGACAAGACATTACCGTGGTCACTTTCTTTTCCCTAGAAGCATCTATAATCCCCTCCAACATGAAATTAACTTCCACAACACTTAACTTGATTTTAGCATTTGAGAGAAAGCTTTTGGGCATTAAAACATTTATTGTTCACAAACTACTTATTTTCTCTATGCCTCTAATAAAAACCTAAGGCCAGGAAACATGCATGAACAAAAGCAAGAAGTAAAAAACCCACTTGGCATCAAGCATGTACTTTTCTCCACATACTTCTCTGTTCATACACATTTGTGATTAGGACTTCAATTTTTCAACGGAACCTTTTTTGGCAAAAAAAAATGCAGATTCAATAACAACTTCATGTCAGTTTGTAAACCGATGTCTGTTTCCCCAAATTGTTTCAGAATATAAATCTGAAACTCAAAGCATTTTGTTTTGATATTTTCCAAACAATGTTACAATTTTTCAGTTTGAAATGACTTCAGGTTTTGAAATGTCATTCACAGCAAATTCAAAAATGTTAAATTAACGCTCAAAATTTAAAGGAAAAGTTTCGTAAAAACAATGTTTTGTTCAACCCACAATTTTATTTTTTTTACTACTTCTATTTGCCTAAAGTTTTCATTTTAGAACCAACTCAAAAGGATTTTTTTTTTCAAATTGCCAATAAGCCAAATAAAAAATGGTTATTCTCCAAGCTCTCTTTGAGAGACACTGGCAGCCCTGTGAAACATGAGCAAGACTCTTCATATCTTCTGGAAAACAAGGGCAAGTGCTGAATCCTGGAGGACAGGGAACACCATTGTGCAAAGGAATACATGAGAGGTGCAAGAGCAGCATGTCATGTGTTGCTGAAGGGAAAAGAGGTAAAGATATGGATGTAAAATGCTTTGAAAGACTTGGATGAAATATTTAAGTACAAATTAATATTATGGTTCCACACACTACATAGCACTTGTTTTCAAGACCTCATCTGAAAGCACTAACAAACCTCATTAAAGTCATTGTTTTTCATTTTACTCCTACAGTTATTTTCCTGCTATAGCTGGAAGCTAGAAAATGAACCTCTCGCTTCACCACCCTTCTTTTTAAAGATGTCCAGTTCTGCATTTCTTTGCAAATGTGCATCAAACAGATCTGGTGGCCTGGAGTCCTGTGGTCTGAATACATTTATTGTATGCATTCAGCTGTACAAAAAGGTTTCAAATCACAAGAAGCATTTAATATCCTCCATTCTTCAATATAAGTGGTAGGTGTGTTAAACAGTGATAACTTTAATTAGCCATTTTAGAACAATTTTCCCTTTTGTTTGTGTCTGTGTGCACAATGAGTTGGTTAAGAATGCCAGCTGTAGAGGCTGAAATGTGATGTCTCCACACAGTACAGACGACATAATGAAGGGACATTATGCAAAAGGGAGTTGCTGGAAGGTCACCAGGTTATTTTAGGGGGGGAATCATGGTATTACTACTCCTACTTCTGTGCTGCCTTCAGAGCTTCATCCCTAACCATGAGGGTAGTTGTCTCCATGCTACTTCACTTTTGTCACAAGAATACCAGTTAGTGCCAAATGAAAAGGTGGTGATTTCTGTGACATGGACACTGACCTACTATTAAGCAACAAGGAGAGATTTCAAATTACTGAAATTATAAACACACCCAACAAACTCCACCACCAGAGCTGTTTATGTACAGGGTTTTAAGGAGAACTCTAGTTCAATTTTGCCCAAAATTTTGCTTTTGTAAAAACAAGCTTTAATAAAAATGGTTAAGTTGGGTTGCTGCAGGTCAGTAGTCTCCAACCTCTTTTACACCCAAGATCACTCTCTGAATCTAAGGGCAACCCAGGATCTACCCCACCCCTTCCCCAAGGCCCTGCCCCGCTCACTTCATTTCTCCCCACCCCCGCCACCCCTGTTGCTCGCCCTCCCTCCCTCACTTCACTTTCAGTGGGCTGGGGCAGGTTGTTGGGGTTCAGGAGGGGGTGTAGGCTCTGGACTGGGGCCAAAGGGTTCACAGTGTGGGAGGGGTCTCTAGGCTGAGCCTGGGGGAAGGGGTGAGGAGTGCAAGCTCGAGGAGGGAGTTTGGGCACAGAAGCGGGCTCCAGGATGGGGCAGAGTGTTGGGATACAGGAGGGCGTACAGGGTGCTGGCTCTGAGAAGGGGGTCAGGGCAGGGGCTACTGGCTCTGGGAGGAGGGTCCAGAGTGTTGGGGTGCAGAAGGGGGTACCACATGCTGCCTTTGGGAGGGGGGTCCAAGTTTGGGGTGCAGGAGAGGGTTCAGGGTGCAGAAAGGGGTATGGGATGCTGGTTCCAGGAGGGGGCTCAGGGTGGGGCACTCAGAGATCCCCTTAGGACTGTCACCTGATGTGCTGAAATTACATCTGAGCCCATTTTCCCCGCTAGCTTAGGACTCCAGAACCCTGCCTTGTTGTGCCAGACACCCTAGCCTGCTGCAACACAGACCCAGGGTCTGGGCCATGCCCCCAAAAGCTGCAGATTAACTAAAAACAACTCAGCAGGTTACCTGTTCCCAGCACCCAGACACCTAGCTCCCAAGGGGATCTAAATCCATTTTACTCTGTGTCAGCCCCCCACTCTAACTCTAGTAGATTACTATAAAACCTCCTAAGCTTATCTTTACCAGCTTAGTCAAAACTTCCCCAAGGTACAAAATATTACACCCTTATCCTTAATGGCCGCTACCACCACCAAACAATTACTGGTTACTGGGGAAGAGCTGTTTGGACGCGTCTGTCCCCCCAAAATACTTCCCAAAACCTTGCACCCCACTTCCTGGACAAGGTTTGGAAAAAGCCCACCAATTTGCCTAGGTGACTACAGACCCAGACCCTTGGATCTTAAGAACAATGAACAATCCTCCCAACACTTGCACCCCCCCCTTTCCTGGGAAATGTTGGATAAAAAGCCTCACCAATTTGCATAGGTGACCACAGACCCAAACCCTTGGATCTAAGAACAATGAAAAGCAGTCAGTTTTTTACAAGAAGACTTTTAATAAAAAATAGAAGTAAATAGAAATAAAGAAATCCCCCTGTAAAATCAGGATGGTAGATATCTTACAGGGTAATTAGATTCAAAAACATAGAGAACCCCTCTAGGCAAAAGCTTAAGTTACAAAAAGATACACAGACAGAAATAGTTATTCTATTCAGCACAATGCTTTTCTCAGCCATTTAAAGAAATCATAATCTAACACATACCTAGCTAGATTACTTACTAAAAGTTCTAAGACTCCATTCCTGGTCTGTCCCTGGCAAAGACAGCACACAGACAGACACAGACCCTCTGTTCCTCTCCCTCCTCCCAGCTTTTGAAAGTATCTTGTCTCCTCATTTCATTTTGGTCAGGTGTCAGCGAGGTTACCTTTAGCTTCTTAACCCTTTACAGGTGAGAGGAGCTTTCCCTGGCCAGGAGGGATTTCAAAGGGGTTTACCCTTCCCTTTATATTTATGACACGCCCCCAAATCTCAGCTAGGGTGAAACACTCTGGGATTTCTTCCTGAGCTCTAGGAAAACAGAGTTAATAAGACACATGCATCTCTAAATATACTACCAAGTACATAAAGACTAACAATATTTTCCACATCTCAAGGACGATTTTAACCAGTTGATTCTGGGAAACTTTCACGGAGAGGCATCAGCCACTTTGTTAGAAGCTCCTGAGATGTGTTGGATGTCGAAATCAAAATCTTGGAGAGCTAAACTCCACCGAAGAAGTTTTTGTTAGTTTCTTTGACGGGGAAGCCACTTTAGGCAGCATGGTCGGTTTCAGGTGAAACGCCGTCCCCAAACATATGGGCGTAGCTTTTCCAGAGCGTAGACAATGGCATAACATTCTTTTTCAGTGACTGACCAGTTGCTTTCCCTCTCAGACAGTTTTTTGCTGAGAAACACTACAGGGTGGAATTTTGATCAGGTCCTTTCTGCATTAAAACTGCTCCCACACCACGCTCGGATGCATCTGTGGTTACTAGGAACGGTTTGCAAAGTCTGGGGCCCTTAGTACAGGGTCAGACATGAGTGTCGCTTAAGCTTGTTAAAGGCCTTCTGACACTTTCCTCCACTGAACACATTTGTGTTTCTTTTGTTAGGCTGTCAGTGGGGCACGATTTGGTGTAGTGCGGTACAAATGCTGTAATAACCAACCTAAGAAGGATTGAACTGTTTCTTTACTTTGGGACAGGCCACTTTTGGATAGCATCCACTTTGGCCTGTAGGGGGCTGATAGTTCCTTGACCCACCTGGTGTCCAAGGTAAGCACCTGTTTAGCCTATTTGACACTTCTTAGCCTTAACAGTTACCGCCTCCCTTATCCAAGGACTTTTGTAGATGTTCCAGGTGCTCAGGAACAAAATAGCCGTCGTCAGGTGGGGATATTCTCCTAATCCCGCTAGGAGACCATCTACAAGTCTTTGGAAAGGGGGGGCATTTGCAGCCCGAAAGGGAGTACATTAAATTCATCAGCCCGAGATGTGTGATGAAGGGACCTTTCCTTGGCAGATTCGTCTACGGTATCAGTACCCCTTGGTTAAGTCCAAGGTAGAGAGAACTGGGCCAAGTTTCTCTAATAGTTCACCTGTGCGTGGCATTGATAGTTGTCTGGGGGTTACAGCATTTAGCTTGGTAGTCCACCAAAACCGTATTTCCCCATCTGGTTTGGGAACTAGAACCACTGGAGAGCCCATGCACTTTCAGAGGGCGGATTACACCCATCTGTAACATATCCTGGATCTCCCGCTCTGCAGTTTTAGCTTGAGGAGACACCCGTAAGGTTGGCCTAATTGGGGAGCATACCTGTGTCAAGGAGG